TTGCACTGTCGGGGTATCAATTATTGTTCCAATGACGTAGGATGAATATCCAAAGAGGGAACTTATCGAACGCCCGAGGAAAGGATGAAAAGGGCAGCACCACCGCAAAAAAAGTTTTCATTTTCCCATGAAGCCCATTTGCTTTTGGGCTGTTGTTCCAACTGTAAGGCCATGGTCGGCAAAGTCTCCGAAGGACATTTCACCCATTCGTTCGAGTGCTTGATCGAAGTAGGCTAATTGGTATGCATGCATCAGCTTGATGCATCAACCTGATGCATGCCATGCATCCCAATTAGCGTACATCGATGAAGCGCTTGAAATTGGTGAAATTACTTTCAGAGACCTCGTCTCAATTTTGCAGTTAGACGCTCAACAATCGCCTTATTGCAAAAAGAAGCTTGAGAGAAGATAAAAAGAAGACTGGCGTTATCAGTGACGCCGTCCTCTTCCCCTTTCCTCCTTCCCCCTTCCTCCCGGGAGTTCCGTAAGTTTTCTCTGCATCGACTTATCCTACGACCTTGAAACTTGCCTCAACTTTCCTATACATCTTTAAGAGTTCTCGCTTCACATTTCACTTCAGTGAACTCCTGACTGATCGCTCTGGGCTATTAGTACGATACCCAGCCCTCCTTAATCCAAGGGTTTGGTAAGCTTTCTCCATCAATACTCATCCTACGTCCTCATAACTCGAATTGATTTCATAATACATACTTAGGAGCATGCATATCAAATATTCATCATGATCGTTCATTTCCTTCTTCCTCTTTTTAGGCGCTTTCGTAGCAACTTTATCTCCACTTCTCTCTTCTAACATGGTCTTCGTGCAAGAATCGAGATCGATCAGCGCAAGACAAGGAGAGAAGGCATGCGATCGACGACACAATATTTTCAGACAACGTCATTTACAGCGTGTGCTCAGGCATGACGACCCTAGGAGTGAAATCCGATTGAGCACAGTCAGATACGTACCGACAACCTGGAATGGCCCTGGAGACACTAGGGACGACATCTTCCAATTGCCCCATAAACCTCTGGTTCCATATACACTCAAAAGATGTCAACCCCTCACTCCTATCTTTTCTTGATGGCGATGTGACGGAAGAGACGATGCACGACCCCATTCGAAAGAGTCGTTGTCCTCGAATGCTTCTCAAAAGGAGACATTAAGGACATCCTGGGCTCGAGCAAGAAGGTACGACCTTGGTGGCACTATTTCCTTCCGACAAAATCGGCACGTGTTTGGCACAAACGGCTCATCATCGGTACCTTATTGGATCATTACCGGTTCATTAATCGTTCGTGGAAAAGGATTGGGCCAAAAAGTGGCAGAAGCAACCATACCTAAGATCGGTGAACCGACGATGGTCCAATTTCTGGCGGCTGAGGACTCCGCTACGGTGATGCCCCACCGAATCAATCACGTGCATCCACTCCACATTTTTCAATGTCGAAAAGAAAAAAAAAAGTATGTGATACTTCCAGAACTCTCGGTGGTCTATTCATTCAAGCGTGACCGCTGCAAACGATGATCTGAGAGGAATGAAACCGGGTCTCTGACTCTCTCGGAAATCGGCACATCTCCTATAAGCGATGACATCTTCGCAATCTCAAGATTGACTTTTGAATTAGTGCAGTCTTTGACGCGGGTCATTGCTTCTCGTATCGAGGAAAATGCCTTCATGCATATATGGATACTTATGTTCCTTCTTGAGAATATTTCATCTACTCTTTATAGGCACTCTCACTAGATGTAGATCATGACACATGAATAGAACCACCCAAAGATGCCCTATTAAATCTGCTTTAAAAAATTGTACTTGAGTGGAATTTCCTGCAACATGAACCTATAAAAAGCAGGCAGAAATTAATTCATGAGAAAGAGTTAAGGAGAGCTTTTTTACAGCCTCACGAGTCAGATATCCTTAAAAAAATTATTGGCATCGGGTCCACAGTGCACAGGACACCGACGATGTCTGTGGAACGGGAGATGAGGAATCGAAATGCGATTCAGACCCAGGTGTGGCGTCCACACTCAACATCAGCACTCCTTCGCACTTCTCTATTTTTAAATGTTTTAATATTAAATTATGCAAGCAATTCCATTCTTAAATTTGCCCTCGATGCCCTCCTTTTAGAGATAGGAAAGGAACACGAGCTTGGCAGATGAATCAGAGAAAAACCCTTTCCTGTGCCGAGTCTACAAGCTTGGATGCGGAGAGTCCTTCATGCCTCTATAAAAGAAAATTCACGAGGGAGTTTGAGGGCCTGTAGTGTGTCCACAGTGCAGCCAGAAGTACCAATGCCATTTTGAGGCCATCCTCCGACAGTGGAAGGGTGAAGAACGACGAAGGACCGTTCCATCCGAGTTCACCGTCGATCCTAAATCGCGCCAGGAGGCCTTGAGTCGTGCCCGAAGGAATCTCGTCCATCGATCCGTCTTCGAGTTCCAAGAGAAAGCCTTCATCTCCATCGTATCGAACGGACGAAAGGGCATCTGGACATTCGGGGTCCAGATCGTGGAACCTCTTAATCTGGATTCCAACCACAGGTTTTCGTGGATCTGCTTCGCGATACGGAAAACCACCCGGTTCGCCTTCCAAGGCCGCATTCATTCCAGGCTGGAAGATTTCCAAAATCTCGGATAGAAGTGAATGCTTCATTCTTTCCTACCCTTTCTTCTCGAATGCCTTCCAGTCTGGTTCCCTCGGGCTTGGAATCAGAAGAACCTCCTCATCTAATAACCCCACTTAAAGGCGATCGACTTTCCTCGAGGAAAATCGCGTTATTTTTCATAAGACACAATAAGCTAGCAAGAAACAAAGTGCAACATTCACCTTTATCTTAGAATATTCTTTTTACCTTCTAAGCCTAACGGTGTATTCGCCGTTCCCTTTCTTCAGTGCAGGTGTTTTTAACCTCCTCAGACTCGAAGAAAATAAAAGCCACAGGATTTGGCACGTGTCTAAAGAGGCTGGAATGGTTTGTGGATTCGTATGTTTGGTTGTGCATACTTCTATTGCCACTCCTTGCCGACTTTCCCGGAATATTTTTTATTTATTTAAAGGGTTAATGGTGTTTTCTGCGATATGGTTTTATCCTTTCAACAATGGACAACATCAATTTAAGCCCTTATGCCTCTCTTTTTTGTAAAACCTTTGTCTATAAATTTGTGAGCTACTCTGAGATGTTACAATTGACTCCATTCCCTGTTACAATTGACCCTCTGTCGCCACAATTGACTTCTTCTGTGGAAACTTCGCTGGCTCTGAAACTCTATAAGTTCGTTTTCTACTTCGAGACTCTGAAGCAACCAAAGGATTAGACTACCTTTCTCTGCAATGTGAATGTCATTGAAGTCCAATTGAAGTCCATGGTGGACGAATTCGTATATTTTTTTAAAGCTATCCCTGGTGTCCCCTACGTATTTTATGCGATACCAACGTTCCATGCAGTTCGGGATTCATCGGATAAGTTTGGAACATTACAAGGCAACAAGAGGCTGTGCCTTTGTAGAGAAAGAAAAAACCGAGAAAGTACTATAGGTATCGCACCTTTAAAAACCTACAATACGTCAATACGCCCCCTAGAGAAACACATGATAAATACATCCATGATGCTCGATATGAAATGGTGATGGACCAGGTGATGACCAGGTCCGTGTCGACTTTGGTGGTGAATGTGCAATGGGGGCAGGAACAGTGGCACACGTGTCTACTCGGGTTATCGACCGACAGCTTCACGGGATGTCCTTCACACTGCCGAGGGAAAACGCTCGTGTTTCCCATGCTAATAATGTTGCTTTACGCAGAGGTGGCTTTCCAAATCGTGCATAGAACGCTGCCATCACCTAGTCCATCACCTGTCCGGTGTGCTGTCTTTCATGCACCCACACACTCGCCACTAAGCGCTCCTCAATGGTGTAGCTACTGCTGTAAGAGGTGGCTTTCCAAATCGTGCATAGAACGCTGCCATCACCTAGTCCATCACCTGTCCGGTGTGCTGTCTTTCATGCACCCACACACTCGCCACTAAGCGCTCCTCAATGGTGTAGCTACTGCTGTCGCCATTGTTACCGCCAAAACTGAATTCTGCTGACCGGCTAGTCGCCTAGCCGGTCGCGCATGCACCGTTTCGCGCCAGGCTCACGCACCGTTGTGTTGAGCGGTCATGTGGGATGTGCAACGGGTATTTTTAGATCTCTATTCATGAAATATATGATAATATATGAAAAGGTAGATGGGGGTACGATGACTTTTCGGCCACCCTGTATATAGACGATCGTGCCTTCTGAGACACTTAGTTCAGGAAAAATGCCAAGTTTCGGATGCATCCCCTAGCGGCATATTTTTTGGGGGTGACGTTTTCAAATAATTTTTTTTTGGTCCTAGGGAATTGGGCGGAGATAGAAAGATGAAACTTGGTACATGCATAAACTCTAAAACTAAATAGTTTCCACCTACGACTAGCTATAGTTCGCTACGTTGCGACTATCGAGGAATAAAATGGTAATAAATGACGTAAAGCAGAAATTCTCTCGCCTAATACTGGAAGCCGAGGTTTAAAATCAGAAAGTCATGCAAGGCGCATTACGATAACAGCCCCTTAAAAAGAACCTGGTAATACTGAACATACCAAAGATCACGATGAAATTATTCTTGGCTTTCTCTAGTTTCAAAACTCAAGCCACATTCACTTTTCGAACCCCCTCTTCCCCAGGCTTCCCCCATCACACTGACACTACACACTGACGCTTTCATCCAAGAATGAAAAAAGGGCTTGCACACACTACATAAAAGTATTCCTGAAAAGATAATAATCCGCTTCCTTTTAGTTCTCACATGGAAACAATCACTGCTGGCTTCCATAAGTGTTCAATAGGTAATGAACATTAAACATACCCTACTGGTGTCCGTGAAACAGCGGAGAAATAAATAATACTTTCTTTCAACATGACAAGACATATTTCAATTTATTCGCTCTTGCTCACATCACATAAACGAGCCCATAGGTTCATGAAGGGATAATTTCAGAATAATGACGATGGTTGAACACGAAATGTTCGATGGATGCATCATACTATGGCAACAGCGGGACAGGGAAAAAAAAAAAGAACGGCGGTGCGTCAAGTACCGTCACTCGGGCCACGAACACTCCCTCTTCCATAGACAGAAAACAAACAAAAAATGTACTGGCAGGAGTCTTTCTGGTCCCGAATAAATAGGCCGTTTGTCTCTCTATGAGAAAATATCACAAGAAGGTGTCGCCATCGTGCATGGACACGGGGAGATGTCATTAATACCTGGCCTGCTGGTCCTTGAGTTTCTCATTTTTCCGATTCTCCGCGATGATCTCGTAATCGTGAGCCTGGGATAGTGACGCGGAGCCCGTGGACGTGATGGAGAACTTCCTTCCGTTCTCGTAACTGTATTCATCCTCGAACTGCTTGCCAAGGCCCAGACCCACGGTCAGACCCTTGGGGTCATGGTAGCCATAGACGGGGCAGGAGACGGCCATCGAGGCCGCTTTTACAGCCGGTTTCGGGTAGGATCCGGTCGTCTTCCGTCGATACATGACCAAGGCGATCACGGCAGCAGAGACGATGACCAAGGTGAGCATGGAGAATACTACGATGATGGCGACATAAGGCGTATCCATCCCATCTCTCCTCTCCACGATCTCCCGATTCTCGGCCGTGAACAAGAAGGACGGGATTTCATTCAGTTTCTCCAAGTCCACGCGGTGGTGGAACGTGGATCTCTCTGGATCCACGAGGTACTCCCCGAGGTGGATTCCCTGCCTCACTCGTTCTTCCAGGCGCCAGGCCTCGTTTACTTTATCTACACCCCCGAGGAGGAATGAAACTTTGGCGGATTCCGGCTCCAGGCGAAACGACACCTCGTCGTCGATGATCTCGATCTCTCCCTTTCCATTCCCCCTCAGCAATTTCTCCACTTCTTCCTTCATCTTCTTTCCCATCTCTTCTCCTTTTTTCGTTTTCTCCATCTGTCGAAGGGCCAGCGTCACCGATACCCACTCCACCGGAACAAACTCTACACCCCCCCAAAAAAAAATTTAAAATAATCCCTTGACTCCTTCCTAAGAACGATTCAGTGAACTACGTCGGTGGACGTACCGCATCGGAGCTCCCCTTTGGTGAATTTGAGCACATTGGGGAGCATGTTGCCCGCCTCGTCGACACACCAGCACTCGGTCGGTTGACCAGGTTCCTCCCGTCGACATTGCATGGGGAAGAATCCACCGGAAGAATCACATTGAGGCACTAACATTGCTCCTCGTTCCTCACTCGTGACCCTCATGTGTTGGCATCGAGTCATGCTCGTGTACTTTTCTTTCTTCTCCTCCTTCCTCTCCTCCACGTGGCCATCATCCATGGACTCAACGGAACAAGAGAGTGTATTTCCGTATTCGTCCACTAGTGTCGCCTGGCAAGTGCAAGGATCGACGCGACATATGGCATCAGGAAGATGAGGGCATGTCACATTACTGCATGCTTCCCCACGGCTGCAAGGTTCAGGGTTCGGCTTCTCTGGGCTCCATTTTGGACACAGCACCAAGTCTATCATTCAGACCATCAGACAAGGAGGGAGAGGGAGACAGAGAGAGAGAAGGAGGGAAAGAAAAAAGTTTCATCACGGAGGATCTTAAAGGTAGAATTGAAAGAGAAATGGGCGAACCGGGGCATCGGGCCTCGCATAACTCCTTGGTGATGAAGTTGTTCAGATTTCCTCCACAGCCTCCATACTGGAAAGGCTGACACTTCTGGGCAGCAGGATTATACCAGAACCGTGGGAGATCCTCATTGCATGGACCCGTTCGACGAGGTTGAAGACACACCTCCACTGCACAATTGCGGAACGAAGATCCCCGAAAAAAAAAGGATAAAAGAGGAAATAAAATAGTCACGATTCAACGGCAAGGGAGATAAGAAATTCCGAAAATATATCTCTATTGCGACTGGAGACAGAAGAAAATTATGACGGAACGACATGGTTGAGTGAATCTGAAAGAAGAATGCCTTGGACGGCACCAGTGGTATAATGAGCCATTCTTGTCCTTTTTAGCCTTCGATTCCGAAAAGAAAGAGGACACATACGGTCCTGTCCTCTCCAACTGTCTGTCTCTATTACCATAACCGTTATTAAAGGATAACTTTAAAAAAGTATCACTCTTCTCGCAGCGAATATTGGTTAAGTATAGCTTGTAAGAGAATGGCTGGGGTCCAGTGAAGAGTACCAAAGGAGGCTAGTGGGCGACCGCCCCCAAAGTATAGTGGAGACTTTTTCTTAACTTGCCAGAGCTTAGAGCTTCCGAGAAAGAGGGATCCGTGACATATTAAGAGGATTACAGGAGGTTTATTTCCTTTATTGACCTTCCCTTTCCTTTTTTTTCTCCGGCCCCTTTCCTTGCTTAGCACCCAACCACCTCTCCCCATGAAAAAGTTTTGGATCCGCCCATGCGGGGATCTCTTCCAGATTTCACTTTCCCTTGTATAAGCCAGTAATTACGTAGAAAAGCATCCTCATTTCAAAGTTGTGGCTTCCCGTCCTCTCTCCCTCTCTCCTCCTTCGTCTCTTACGTTCAGTCGATCCTTTCCCACTCCTCATCCACACCATCCGCATGACTGATCACATGGCTATTTATTCCTTCTTTTTTCTAACTCAGGTCCACGATGACATAGAAGAAAATAAAGGTTATTAAGGAGGGGCGATTTCATCCAGACATTCAAGTTAATTAAAGGACGCGGTGACTTGAGGTTCTCCAAAACTGACAGTACGAGCCGTGATCCTTCAAGAGGGCCCTTGGCGTCAGTTATTTTTCAGTCGTTTCATTTCTCAGTTTCTTCTCTTAGTTAATTTCATTCATGACTTTCACATGAGTCACTCGCGCACGGTGAGGATCCCTTACCGCTTAGTTGGCACTCTTGTTGGCATTGTTGCAGGGAGAGGAAATGATTGTCATTGGCCCCACAACCGGAGAACTGGAATTCCTGGCATTCCTGAGCCGTCTGATTGAAAAACCATCGTTGGAGTGCAGCCCGGCAGTGTCCGACGGAGAGTGGCTGACTGCATTTCTCTTCGCATCTCACTTCCTCCCCGTTGGGGGAGATGAATTTCACCTTGCAGCCATTGCAAGGAGAGGCGACGCAGATGGCATCCGGATGTGCAGGGCATCTAACACGAAGACACTCCTCTTGACACACACGTGCTCCTCCTCCTCCTCCATGGGGACACACTGGTCCCAGGGAGTTCCGCTTCACGATTCGACCTAATTTTTTTCAACAGGTTCCCATCATTTTGATTTCAATAGTTTTGATCTCTATACAATATCTATATTATATTTTGATATCCTTCTTGCAAGACATGTATACCATAAACCTAAGGGTTAAATGCAAAAAGGGATGCAAAAAGGCAGACCGTCAGGATCGCAGATGACGTGTCCTCGAGTAAGAGTCCGATGTCTGGGGTTCCCCTGAGAATCCACACACCAGGCCAATGGACCCTGGCGTTGAGTTCCCATAAATTCGCCTTTCTCGGTACACAACGGAGGGGCAACAACCATCATGGTGTTCTTCGGAGCTGGCACTGCTTTCACAAGAAAACATCAGTGCATGATTAACAAGAGACAATGAGGAATAACGATGCTAAGTTTATATATCAATGTATACCCATGGGGGAGATGCATTTTGAGCCGCAGCCACTGTAGCAACACTTGGCACTTCCAGGGCAATCGTAATCGAAGACACACTCATTGGAGGGAACACATTTGATTTCGGATTGTAGATGGGACTGGATCCGAGGACATCTTCCTGGCTTTGGTTTTCCCTCTTGCAAGGGACGAAGGCACCGGAGACCACAATCTCCCATGCAGCATTTCAACCTGGAGAACGCAAAATTAAAAAATTGTTCTCACGACGCCATTCTCCTATTCTAGCCATGTCGTTGATGACTGAAGGACGCACTGGTGAGAGCAGTCACCGTCAGTGAGGCATTCATCTCGGCAGGTCTGAGTGAGGACACGAAGGAGAGAAGGAAGACGGAATGCTGGACACAGACCTGGCTTCACCAAGGGACGCATCGTCCTCGTCGTCATCACCTTCGACTCCACGGCCGCCAGATCGTCTAGATCATGATTGGATCATTCATTCATTCTATCATTTCGGGGGGAAGTGGGGAAAGGAGAAATCTCTCACATACCCCATTCCGTCTCCATGAGTTCCATGTCCATGTCTTTGAAGTTTTCCAGACCCCTCTTTCTTCTGCTCTTCGATGGTACCCCTTCAGGGACTTTCTCCTCCCGGTCCTCTCCGCTTCCAGGGCTGCTATCTGTATCTTCCAGGATAAGATCTACGTCTGCATCTTCATCTCCGTCTCCATCTCCATCTCGGGCATTATCGGGATCGGGGAAGACAGACGAAAGGAGCTCCAAGAGGCTATCGATGGGATTCCCAGCCGAGAATTCCACGTTGAACTGCATTTCTGGAGATCCCAGGCTGAAAACGAAGAGTCCACCAGGTCCGTTCAAGGACATGGGATGTGAAGAAGGTCCTCCTCGATCCACGTCTCGAACATCTTGTTCTTGTTGCTGTTTTTGATTAAGCCAGGCCGGAGAATTGAGGATCTTTTGGGCCCTGGCAACGCAGACAGGCAAGCTCGCGGCGCAATCCACCAACTGATTGTCATCGTTGTAAAATTCAACATTGCATCCACCGCAAGGATTCACTCGACACGATGCACTAGGTTCCCCCAGGCAGATCTTGTCATCGCAAAGCGATTGGTTGCACACGTGGATCGCCACGTTCCATCCGCACACTGCAAAGGAACAGAATGCCTTCTCTTCAATTCTACACGGTGAGATCGAGTTCCATCTACGCACTGCGAAAGAAAACAATTCCTTCAATTCGTGTTGAGATTTTCGCAAATGTGTGATCCCAAGTAAAAAAGTTATTGTACCTTTTCCTCCCTCCTCAGTTTAAAATCCCAACTGCAATCCCAACAGACCAAAGCTGTAAATTCAGACCCATTCCAGCCGGCAAAGAGCAGAAAAAAAGAGAGAGATAGGTTGATTACTGTTGGAATTTTCAAACTGGATTGCAGCTGGTTATTGTAGTTGTTTCCATCCGGAAATTTCCAGTTAGAATTTAATGCAGAGCATCTTCCAGCTCGGATACAGCTGAAATTACAGTTGAATTCATCTGCTCCCGTAGGGCTACTGAGATTTTAAGCTGCATCTTTTTGTTTTATTTTTCGCCTACATAGCTTTCGTCTCGCATCTACTGGTATTTAACAACGGTGAAACAACAAACCTAATAATGAATATCTACATTTCATGAAAGAGAACAAAACGCAACTTATTGAAAGTGGAGATGATCCCAAAAAAGTTACTTCATCATCCGCCTAACGTCCTAGGCTGCTTTAGCACCCTCGGCCCTTCTCCCCGTCTTCTGTTTTCATAATAGTGAAATTTTTAAACTTAACTAGTCGCTGCATGTCTAATCTCGTTGCGTGTTCTAACAAAGCCCTTGCAAGTATTTCCTGGTACTTGAAATTCTATAAGAATTGAAAAAGTAATCCTTGATCCAGAGAGTAATCAGCTAGAAATTGGTGAGAGTGAGATGGGATACCCTTTCTTATTCAGCCTTCCTTCGAAATTGGCGGAGGAAGGGTATTGTCACCATTCAGAATAAAAAATAGTGGGTGAAATTTTCCCTCCTGTCCCCTTGTTGCGTGCAGGTTTTAACATCGTCACTGAGAATGTACCTGGTTCGTCTTCGTCGTCGATCATTCGACCCTTGCGAGAGAGGCAGTCAGGCTCCCCTCGAATGAGAGTACCCTTGATGGGTTTCCCATCCTCGTCGACACACCAACAAAGACCCAAATCTGGCAAACACTGTTTGGATTCGAATGCTCCCGTTTCGACATTGCATTCTGGAAGGAACATGCTCTTCTTGTATTTCAACGCCTTTGCCTTGTTCTCCTCTCGCATCTTCTCACAATCCGTCATCACTAGGGATAGGTATTACGAAAGTCCATTCTCCTCGGTTCGTGAACGAAAAGATATATGTCGTTTATGAGGAAGATTTGTTACCAGGGCAGACGGTCTTGCATTCTTCAATGGAATCAAAATTGTTCAGATTTCCTCCACATCCGGAGAAAGAGAAATCCTGGCATTTGTTACTGGATGGATCGAAGTACCAACGAGTCAGATTCCCGGAGCAAATCCCCCTTTTCTTGTCTTGGAAGCAGACCTCGTCTAGGAGCAGAGACGCAAAGAAGAGAAAGAGGTTTGTAAGAAATAATAATCCACTCCATGGAGCACTGTACAGTACATATTACGAAGCGTAAAAGAGGAAGGGCTGATGGGAATAGGCAATAGAACATACGAGGCTTGGAACAGCAGACGGCATATTCGCCGAGAGGGCTGAGATGGCATTTGTGAGACGATGGACATTGTCCTGCAATCGGCCCACAGGTCACCAAAAGCCCATTGTCTTTCGTCAATGGTTCCCCAACTGGACACGGATTTTGGATCCTCGGCAGGCAGATCGGCAACAACGGACCTGCACGGTTCGTTACATCACATTACATTCCCTTCAGCTTCAGACCGGCTCAAATTCACTAAGGAGCAGAAGAGCAGGATGACTTTTTTTCCCTCTCACATGGTTGAGTGATGCAGTTGACTTGGATGAGTCGGCATTCTTCGTCATCTGGGCATGAGACTCGATCGCACGGATGATGGCAATCACAATCCGGGCATCCCTTCTCGTCCAGCTTGTAACCCCATGCGCACGTGAGATTGCACTCCACCAGGGGACACGTCAACCGAGCTGCATATCACCATCGTCAGCATCCTCATCGATGGCGATTGTCATGGTCATAATCTGCATTGTACTTGCCTTGACAGTCGAAGGGAGTATCCCTGGTGGCAGGACTCCTGGTTCCGGGTACCTCGCGCCCCTCTTCGTCCACACACCAACAGGTGCGAGTCCTTGGATCGCATTGGACTGGCTGGAACCGACCTTCCACATCGCACTGGGGGTAGTATGCTCGGTTCGGCGGAATCCCCTGCTCTCGGTACTTGTGTTCCAGCACGGCTCGCTGGTGCTGACAGGCTGCATCCCATCACATACTTAGTATGCGCAATGCAACGATAAGAGGGACAGGGATGGGAAAAGGAAGGAAGGAGGTGGATCATACCGGTCATGATGAGAGGTGGGAGGCATTGAGTGCCGCATCCGTCAGAGCAGCATTTCGAGACATCTGGACAATCTTGATCCGTTGTACATTCGTATTCACATGACCCCGATGCAGGTGGGACCAAGTATGGGCATTGACCCGGCTTCACGCCCAACTCTACTGTGCACATTCAGCTCATCAACCTCCCTTTCTACCGTCAATAAACCTAGTCACAAACTTGAGGGTACCTTGAGCGCTAGAGGAGGTGCAAATGTGGATTCCGCAAGGATCCATGCAACAGAGACTTTCAGCCCCAGGACAATCTTCGTCTTTTACACATTCTTCCTTCTTATCAGGTTCGCATTGTTTCTTTTGACTCGATGGAAACGTGGGGCATTCACTGTCGAGTCTCCTTCTTCCTTCTCCGATCAGCTCCGAGATGTCCTCTAGCACTGTATACAGCATGACGTCAACGTGGTCATCAACCCTATCTCTCCTCATTCGAGAGATGAAAAAAGCAAAAAAGAAAAGAGGGGCATACCCTTGCACATGCCCTCACAGTCCTCCCGAGATGCGAAGTTGTTCAGGTTCCCTCCACAGCCGGAATAGTCAAAAGGTTTACAACTGTTGTCGGTCTCGTCGTAATACCATCTCGTCATAGATGCATCGCAACCCCCTTCTTCCTTCTTCTGCTCGCACATGTCGTCCGCTGCCCAACACAATAGCATCACTCGTCAGTACCAATATACTCTATGCAAAGGATACCTTTACTCTATGCGATGGATGCTCATACTGTGAACTCTTAGTCTTACGGGGAAGAGCAATGAAAACAAGTATTTCGTGAGGCTAGGCTTCTCCTTTTTTTGGCTTGCTGTAAAGGCCGTGTCTTTTGGAAACAAGTTCGAAGGGTGATCAATTTTGTGACTGGTGTCAATACAGTGCTTAGTACAGGGTGGTCTAAATGAAGCTAACCGAAAATATAGTAAGCTTTTTTGTATTTGCAGATAAATGATCCATGGTGCCAAAATATTCTGTGGTGAAACGTATACGGATAGTGGAACATTATTGGTAAATTTTCATGGCCCGTGGATATGCATGTGCTATCTAGTGTATATATAGCAGTGCTATTGGTAAAACACATTTTCATTTTCGGCTACCTTCTTTTTTTGGACCACCCTGTACATGGCCCAGTGTGTGAAGTAGAATCGCTAGGGCGAATGGCGCTCGTTTGCCTCAAAGCTCTATAATGTGGGTTAGGGATAGCTTCGAAAAGAGAAACCTTAGAAGGTCCCTGGAGAAAGCTTAAGCTCTTTCAGCTCTCCATGGGCATACATCTGTTGAATCGTACCCATCTGTCCATTTTTAAATGGACAGATGGGAGACAATGGAGAACGTTAGTTACACTATTTTTCATTGTAGCTCGTACGATATAAAGCAGAATGCTGCAGCATTCTCAGTAAATGAAAGGTACTGGCTTGTATCCCCCTATTGACAGCCACTTTCGTAAGATCTGGCGAAAAAAAAAACTCCTCGCCACATGCCTTTGAAGCATTTTACAGACTTTAACTGTGCACGACTTTGAAATTGCTTGAGGCGCCTAATGTGCACGGATCAATCTTTCGCAGAACGTTCTTGAATTGCACGACGTCGACTTCGAAAGGAAAGGGGCGACTTTCCGCCGCTTTCAAGAAGAGAAAGTATGTGATAGAATTGCGTCTATGGGAAAGACTAACAATTTGCAGGCTTTCGTTAAGTTCTCTAAGGATCGAGTTTCCTGCAGACTCAAATTGAGAATACTTTGTCTCGATACTCCCTTTCCTCTATATCCAACATTTCCCGATGGTGAAATATACCTTAAATATGCCCACATTGTCTAGGAGGAGAAACATGAAAGAAGTGAGAGGGAAACTGACATGGCTTGGGGCAGCACATCCCCTTGGATGCATCCCCAGTGTAGCAGCCATATCCTTCAGGGCAGCGCGGTCCATCTGCCGTAAGGTCACATGTCAAGGTCGTATTCAACTCAGGCACTTGGTACGGATCCCCAATGGGACACATCGTCTCCAGCACTCGGTCGTACCGCACGTTCTCCACACCTACGGAAAAATATAATTATTCGTCCAGCCACTGAGAAAGCGAGAGAGGATGCAGAGGAAGCGAAACGATAAGTGACTCTTACACTGAGGAACGGGAGGGCAAGTAAGGTCACCGGATCCACACCTAACCTCGGTCAAGGCACAATGATAGCCATCAGAACATCGAGCAGCCTCGCAGATCTCGAAACATTGACAGACAGGACATCCACTTTCGGGGTCCAATCCGAATCCATAATCGCAGCCCAGTCGACACCGCAAACCCAGACAATCGTGGCCTGCCAGAATCTTCTCACAATCCGGAAATCCCTCTTCTTTCGACGACCTAAATAAATTCATTATCACTCATATCATTCATATCGTTCATTATTTCTCATACGTGGATGAATATGCCTTCCTAAGAGGACGGAATGGGCAGATCACAGACCTCGTCCTGGGGATTTCCACTCCGAAGTCATCGACGCACCAACATTCTTCCGTCGTTTCATCGCATTGGGTCTCATTGAACGCGCCGTTTTCCTTGCAGATCGGGGGAGGGACGGCCAGCGATACACTTGGGCTCAATGCGATGTCCCTCAGATACTGACAAACTGCATATAGCATCCAGATACCGAACCATATATGAAATACATCACGAAGGGATATATTCGGATGAGGGTGAGTTTCTTACCGGTGGGAACGGGGAGCTGTTCGTCGTGAGGTCCTTCTCCAGGCACCTGGATGGGTCTGGCACAGATCCCTACCCCACATTCTGGGACATGACAGCACATGAGTGTCTCGTCTTTCCCTTCGCAGTCAGTGTCGTTCCCACATGTCGACATGGAGACATTCTTGCAATCCTGGACAGAGAGGGGTGGACAGATGGCATCTCTCTCAATCACCCGTGGAGCGGTCTCTTTCTCCTCTCCTTCTTGGGGTCTAGGGGGTGTGGGGCAGCAGACAGGTTCATGGGACGACAGGGTGCAAGTATATCCCGAGGGACACTCAAGGAGTTCAGGGCGGCATGCCACCAGGGCTCCCGTCGGCTCATGAATCAACGGCTCCCCAACTTCACACTGATTCCTCCTCACCCTCTCTCCACCTGGACATACCACCAATCGTTTCATCACCCTCATCCTCCATCTCCTCATCAAAACGTGCCGACGGTGCTGGTCGCATACATTGAGGGAAAGCAGGACAAGAGAAGTCTGATTCCGGGCAGTCGGGATCCGGAAGGACTCGACATTCCGCTCCGCTTGGACAAGGGAAATCTCGACAAGGATCCTCGCATTCACAAGTTGGACATCCTGCCCCATCCGGCACGTATCCATATGGACACGGTTCTTCACACGTCAGAGAAAGGCAAAGGCTCCTAGGTCGCGCCGGCGCTAAAGAAAAATGAAATCATGAAGGAGGGGATGTGAGAACTCTAAAATGAATTGCTGATGGATTCGCGAATGAGGACAGCAGAATGTCGAGGGGGCGAACCTCCACGGAGTTTAACAATCTGAACATCATCGAGTTCCTCGACATTATTGCATTGGACGTCTGCAGCCCGGCCGAAGCTGGTCGGCATCTTGCGACCTGATCCATCCACACACCAACACACTAAGCCGTTCCGACTGCATTGTTTCTTTTCGAAATCTCCTCCTGAGGTGCACTGCGGGATGTAACCCTTCCCTGGATCTTGCTTCTCCAGCAGCAGTTCCGCTATCATCCTCTGCTGCATGCATGCTACAGAAGAGAATAATTCAAGACCGTGGAATACCATTCCCGAGGTTTTCATCTTTCTTTGGATCCCATCCAAGCTATGTTAGTTTACCAACTAATTTTCTCATCTTATCTTGATGTAGATCGTACCAGGTTCTTTCAGTCCAAACTCATATAGGTTAATTTTGCACGATAATCCATGAATAACGGTGAAGGCATTAGTCTTACCTAAACCTATAGATGTAGAAATTGCTTTTTTTTATTTGCATTCCTCCTAGAGTTTTCCCACTCCCCATATGGCAAAATTGCTGCTTTCCATTGACTACTTTGCTCCAAACCTAACGTTGACTGTGAGCCACAACAAAATGCATGGTATGCATGGATTTGGCATGAAAGGAATGAGTCGCAGTAGCGCCTCATTGGAGAATGGGGAGTCGGCATGACCTTCCCTCTATGCTACCTGTGTCTATAACTCACCTCGAGTGGCAGTAATCGTTCAGCGTATCTAACGGAAAGAATTTTACGGTGAACATACCCTGAGGGTAGTCTTAAAGTAACTAGGAAGCCCTAGAACTCTTACACTGCGGTTGTAAAGGAGAATTGAAACAAAAAGAAGTAAAGAAAACAATCTTTGTCAAATCAAAGTAGGTCCCTGTATGCTTGCAACAAAGGAAAACAGATACATGAAACTTTCATGTGGAATTTCTCATGCGGAGAGGGTATGCTGAGCCAATATCCAAAAGCAGACAACTCATACCATGGGTGCGAGGCGTTCTCGGCAGGAAAGGGTTTGAAGAAATATATACAAGACTAGAATGCTATAAGATAGGCTTATCCAGTTTCTTACTGCATACAGTACCCAGTACCCAGAACCATACCGGTCATCTCCTTGGGTTGAAGGCAGATGTGCCGAGAGCAAACGTGAGATTCGCAGCATTTCAGTTCCTCTGGGCATTGTATGTCCATTTCACAAGTCAACGTTTGACAGAATTCCTCAGGGGTCGTGTCATTAGCAACATACACCGGACTGGGACACATTCCGGGCTTCGTCACTCTCTCTCTCGATGGACAACACACTCCATAATCGTGTCCTGCAATCCATGAACAGAGCAGATCTCTACATTGCTCTCTATAGGCAAGGAGATGAATACTTGGTAAGGTACAGGTGAATATAATATAAAGCAATGTGCGAGATGGGTACCATATCGGACGAGACAGGAGAATCCGTGGGGACACTCCGGTTTCCCAGGATCATCTCCACAAAGAAAAGGCCTCCCTGAGTCACCAAGGCGAAGAGGTGGCCCCGTCGGACACAAATCGCTTAAACTCCTCGCCTGCTTGCCTGCACGGATACCACAGCATTTCTCATCTTGTCATTCATGACCATACCTTGCATACGGTGGAGATGAAAAAGTGCTGATTGTTCGCGGAGGGCCTTTCCATCCCAAATGAGAAACGGCGCGAAGTCCATTAGTTTTCATGGATTGTGTAATAGGTGGTAAAGGAACATAAATCAATCCTCCTCCCCGGAGAGCAGAACCCGTCATTAATATGGCGGTGATAAGATAAAGGAGACTTTCTGGTACTCCCTTACAAGTAGGAAGAGGTGGGCAGGGTTCCTGGAGACAAGGCACTTCTTCGAGTTGGCATTGTTGAGCTCCGGGGCACACGATCCCTAGACATGGATCCCGACATCGACACAATGGACACCCTTCTTCGTCCAATTCGAACCCATACGGACACAACATCCGACACATGAATCCAGCACATGGCCGAGGATCTGCGGTGAGAGAGAGACTTTCGTGAGATGCCATTCATGCTTGGCCTTCGGAGTGAACATGAGATGGGACAGACTGGTGCAGTTGAGGAGGTTCAGGCTTCGAGCCCGAGTCCCAGGAACTTCGAACCCGGATCCATCGACACACCAACAGGGACCGTCGGCATCGATCTCATTCGAACACTGGACGGGACGGAATTTTCCGTCATCGTCGCAGTTTGGCACCAATGCATTCCCAAATTCTCTTATTCCATCAAGCTCCAATGCTCTTGCACGGCTTTTGGCTGCTTTCGCCTGGTGCTGGCATGCTACACAAAGGGGAAATGTGTAAGAAGAAATCGTCAAGTACCAAAACATATCTGGCGTCCAAATTTTTCTCTAAAAAAAAGCCCTTTGAGCCCCTCATCTCGATGGATTGAATCTCACGATGGTGTGGTTCTTTCAGTAACGGTTTTTCACCGCCCGGTACTCAACTTCAAGAGGAAATTGCGCGTCATACAGTAATTGGCGGCGGATGAGAGGACGTGGGAAAACGTTGGGAGTCAGAAGTTTCTCTCTTCCCTATTAGGAATCAAAGGACAATGAGTGCAATGAACTGAATGGGGAAGATAGGGTTGGGAGAGAGAGAAAAAGAAGTCCCGTCCTGTCCAGGAGTCCTTCCTTCCAGCTTCCTGTCCCATTGTGGAAGCCCATTGCACCCCACTTTCTCTTCTTTGATTCTTTTTTCCCACGAAATAAAAAACAGACCATTGCATGTACACACACTCCTTCATATAAGCCGAAGTGAGCACACTTTCCCCCCCGATGTCCACTCCGGCGGCAAACACCTTTCTCCATGTCCAACACACTCTGTGGCATTCCCCCCCCCCCCCCCCCCCCCCCCCCGGTCCTGTAACAGGTAAGAGCCTATAGGAACAGACTGGGGTCTTTTGCCTCTCGCCTCAATACCTCGTTCCGCCTATCTATAATGCATTGTATTTCCGTGGAGGACAGACTGACAGACAGACGGGGGGGGTATCGATCCAGCCGGACCTCCTTTCTATCGCAGTCGCTCCGTTTCGCTCATATTTCTTTCCCGTTTTCGAGTCCATTTTGCATGGAGATTTCCTACCGAAGTGCAGTGCATCGACTTCGAACTCTCCTTCATCAAGCGTCTCCACATCCGAGACTCCTAGCCAGTTCTGCTTCTCTGGATGATTCATTGTTCAAGGTCGCATCGTACATGGTAGTGCGGCATGAATTCCGCCGCTGCAGCCTAAATGACGGCTCATGTTTCTTCCAGATTGCAGATGGCCCTGGAATATTCTCGAGAAGGAACGATTACGTTAGTTATCCCCCGGCCTTCGATCGCAGTCTCGTTTCGGCGGAAGATGTTTGCCTGGAACTTCCGGAAAAGTCGTATATGGGGCGTCCAGATTCCACGAAGGAGGAAGATACAGAGAGGCGCGAAGAAAACGGCGATCGGGAATACGAGGGTCTGGAGAGGGCCGCATCTGTCTTGGGAGTGAGTCTCACCGGCACGTCCAGGAATGTTATTGTGTTACTGCACTCTGAATATGCATGTCTGAAGTCGCTTTCTTCCTCTCCTCGCAGAAGAGCATCGGGAACCTGAAGACCCAAATCCGAGAACTGATGTCGGAGAACGAGGCTCTGAGTCTCCGCTTGCGGTCGTCCCTCCTCGAGGAACTCCTGCGATCGGTGAGTCATCCGAGTTTTTCTCCCGCAGCAATGAAATGCAAATCCATGGGGGATCCCGTTCTCCGTAACAGAGGGAAGAGAGAGAGATTGGCTCGACCAAAGACTCCTGGACGCAGACTTCGACGGAAACTGCGAGGTAAGCCCGCATGCAAATCGCTCCTTGCATGCAAATGACCACGAATGACACCAGCATCATGACTGCATCGACCTTCATGCAATGCTGGCGTCTCAGCGGCAATATTCATGGAACGCAAAAGTGGGACGATTGCTGGGGTCAACGTCGTAGGGAGTTGCGATATGTAGGGGCCTGTGACCCGTAGACCTTGACAGAAGCTTCATTCACTCTTTAGTAACAATGGTCTCCATAAGGACGTTGAACTTTTTTTTAAATTCTCCTTTAGCGCTTATCTGCTCTAGAGCAAAATTTGTAAGTGCAATCATCAACCTAGGTTAACAGCATAGCTAAGCTTCTCATTTCCCCCCTAATTTTTCCTTGTTGGTTCCACGCAGAGGATTCATGAAAACAGGAAGGAGCATGCTAAAGAAGAAAAAAAAAAGAGTCCAATCGGGTGCACTGACGTAATGGGTGTCATCAATGAGCAGTGGCGGTCGATGAGGAGCCAGGCCGAGTGTTCAGAAGTAAAATCAAGGTATGCGGAGGAAAGTCACAGACTAGTACAAATTCGTTGGGCATGTCACGATCCAGTCTTTGCAACGGAGCGGCTTTTGAAGCAAATAATCAACAGAATTCAGAGTCCAACGTTTTCTTCCTTCGCCCTGGGGCCCAGCCCCGTAGAATTTCTCTGAGCGTCCTGTAAAACGGGACAGGTGGCAGCACTAGTCCGAGGAGGCATCCATACGCACAGTGGCGTAGGCAGGAAATCGTCAAGGGGGGGGGGGGGGGGGGTGAGGCCAGGGAGACACCAGGGGGGGGGGGGGGTGCGAGGGGGGGGGGGGGGGGGGGGGGGGGGGGGGGGGTTGAGGCCAGGTAGACACCAACCACACTTCCCGACGCCGCTGCATACACATCAAGAGTATGTTACACATGATAATAGAGCATGGGCATGGACAGCCATACCTTTGCTCTATCCTCCACAGTGCTCGAAATGCGGATGCGGCGGGATGGCATCCCGACAAGACTGCTTTTTCACCTGAGCCATTCCTCGAGAAGCAAAACGAGAGGAATGCGGCAGGGTGACATCCCGGCAAAACTCAGCTTCGAATCGAACCGGCTTCCCAAAATTAAAGCTGTAAAGTTCGTCGGGAAGGCTAGCGATAGCGAACTCGGGAAATGTCGCACCCGACCAAAACCGGTGACTGATGCTTTTCCCCTTCCTCCTCGTAATAGCCTTGTTTCATCTATCTCTTTGCTTAATAGCCTAAACAACAGCGCCCAGTTTATCTTCTCAGCTCGTCAAGGCGAGGCTCTGAGGGTGTGTTTACAAGGCACGAAAGAGACCCCTGCTTCGACTTAGATCTGCTCTTCGTTTTTTTATTCTTTTTATTTTTTTACTTCTGTTTGAATGCAGCTTCTACGAATCGTCGAAAAAAGAAGTGTTTCGTGTCTTCCTTCTAGTTTCTTTCTTGAGACAAATTTTTGCGACGGCGCCAGGAAGAATTTATCCGAAGGGAAACGATGAGACGGAAGGATTCATTCGGGAATATTGGAATGGAACGAGTTTTCGCCCGAACATGGAGAATTGGCAATGAGAGCACAAAAATTAATCCGTTCTTCCTGATGGCCGGATTGGAAGTGGAAGTCTTCCCATTTTCCGTCAGAATTTTCGTTCCTGCAGAATTTGCTTCAATCGGAGTAAATGGGCGCAATACAGTCGCAGTCAAGGGTTCATGTCAATATCGATTTTCTTTCTGACCGCGACCTTAAGAAGAGAAATTGCGGGTTGAGAATCGCTGAGCTAGGGCTTAGGCTGACTTTTTCCGACTTCCACTGCTTACTTAACACTCATCTACGTGATTCATCGTGAGTCATCGATCACAGCCTTTCCGTATCGATCACGAAGGGAGCTATACTTATTCCCCTTTCCTGTGAGTACTTCCTCTCTGATATGGTGCAGAACGCGATTGTTGCGCTTTATTGGAACTTTCCAATAATTGACAGTATATGTAAACTTTTATCCTGGAATTTTTAGTATCCAAAATGAATTTTTGCTTGTATTTAGGGCGGACACTGAACACTGGACGAACACCCTGACGGACCGCCACAGTTGGATAGATCTCTATAAGTTAAACAAAACTAAAGAAATGTTCATGGCCTCGACTCAACTGGCGTACGAGGCCAAAAATCATTTAGTCGAAAACTGCAGTAAAATGCGCGAGCAGCAGGCATGTCGTCGAGCAGGCACTCTAAGTTCCAACAACCGAAGCGAGATGGCAGCTCGATCGCCACTGCAGTAAATCATCCCTTTTGGGTTATTGGAATCAAGAAAGTGTCCTCGTCGATTTATGGGAAGGGTCCACATCTTCGAGGTGAGGTTTCCTGAATCCCGAGAGCCTCTTCAATGGAATTTCTTTTTTTTTAATGCCGAAATTGTGAAGTACATCTTTTTTTTTTGGCTCTGAGTTATTGGCTTCGTTACCGATTGGATCGATCCCATGAACCTTTCTTTATTCGACAAGTCAATCGAATGACCATTTGGCGTCGATGAACGCGATTGGACGCGACGGGCATAGGGTTTTCCGGAATGCTCCCTTAATTCCAGGCTTGAGAATAAAGCGATGAGTTCCATGTAATCTTTTAAGTGAATTCTGAGAGCTTGAGATTGGAGGGCAGGGATGTGCAACCCCGGGGCCCGGTAATGCACAATGAGATAACAGATGAGTTTCTTTGCGGCCAAAAGCCCATCACAACTCTGATCATCCCTTAGCAACAAGAAATAGACAGAGTCCTTTCACTTCCTTCTAATTTTTCCTCACGCGGGCGGTGCTACAAATGTCCCGTGGAAGAAGATTCTCAATGCCAAAGGCTATTTTTGGACGTTGGAATTTCCTAGGGGTGGGGGAGGAGGTAAGGATCATCGGCCAATCAGCGCGACCTTATGCCCTCATGCCCTGAGGACAAAAGAAGGGAGCATTTTGTAGCCCGCGTCAGGAGTCACATGCCGCCCACTGCCGGTAAAGGTTGCACACCCTTGTTGTAGGGCATGCTGTATCTCAAGATGATAGTGATGTTCCGAGTGTCTACTGGCAATACCCGTGGGTTGACCTTTAAAAACTGTAATAAAAAAAAGTAACTCACGGGGTCGCGAAAATATTCCGAATCGGATAACTATGTGAAGACTGATTTCCTGATTGATCCAGATCCGGGTGAAAACTGTTAATATCTGTTGGCAGCGATGTATCTACGCATCAAAAGCATTCTGCGCCCCATTTTCTTTCTACGAATCTAAACTCCGTCGTAGCTGCTTCCGGCTTCACATCCGTGTTGAATCGAACCGATGTCCTTTCGTCTCGCTCCTCAGCTTGGGAAAGAACATTATTGTAAGCGGAATGACCAGGGTGTGATTTTCTGAGTTTCTGGATAAATTGCAGCTATTGTACAACTCCGGTGACGTTCAGGCCTCGTCGTGATGCATCCACGTCTCATGCAGGAGTGGTGAAGGCCTTTTCGAAACTTCGCAGTGCACAACGCAGTTTCCTCGGGATGGTGTCGACATGCACAACGAAATGAGCCAGCACAATGTCCCGAGTTTCGACAGACCAGCCTGCTTGCCAGCATGTTTTGCGACACGAGAATTCATCGGGGGCTGAGTTGAAATACGCGAAACTCATCCGTTTGGATTCGGGATCGTAGGGAAAGAGTCCATTTTTGTCACGAGTCTGCCGATGCAAACGTCACAGACACTCTCACCCGCCCGTTTGCTCCATCCCCAGCGAAACTTCTCGATAAATGCCACAACCGTGCAGTGGCGTGCCCAAGTGGGGGGGGGGGGGGGGGGGGGGTAGGGGGGATATGACTCCCATACATATCCCCTACCCCCTTGTGATACATATTACAGGTCCGACTCTAACTTTTTTTTAAATTTGGCCATAAATACAGAGTGGGTGACTAATTTTTCATGTCACCCCCCCCCCCCCCCCCATTGTGATGGGGACGCTACTTTAACTGTGGAAGCAAAGGGTACTAGTTCGCAGAAGAGATTCACATGACTCAAAATTCTCTCACGTGATAGCCACGGGTGCTTGCATAAGTGGACTATCGTTGGTTCGCCATGTGGCCGGTAGGAGCGATGCAGTGTTGCCAATCTTAATATTTCAAGGGCAGCCCGCACAACGTTGCCTACTTGTACATAGTGTTGGATTCCCTGCACCCCTGATATCCGTTTGGTTTCTCTCTCGATTCGAATAATCTAATCCTTCAGAAAACCTCTAATCTAATCTTTTAGAAAAACCAATATTTATGTTTTGGGACTGGAGGGGAAATTGTGGTTCCTAACCTACGCTTAACGTTGGACCAGCGAAGGCTCCTGTTGGCCCAATGACGGTCCACACTTGAAGTAAGCCTTTGATGATGGACTAACGTCAGCAGACAATCTCTGAAAGTCACTCCTGTTCAGGTAGCCGTGAATTGTACGCGGAGTGACGTAAGACCGTGAACATAGGATCTTGGATATTTAATTGTTCAGAAACTGATGCGCGTAAAAGAAATCAGGCATTATAATGACCTCGCCATTCTGTCCTGTGCGCAAAATAAAGTCCTTAATAATGGCCCTATCTGGGTTCCATTGGTGGTTAAAACCGTGTGGTCGGTGCAGATTGCATCGCAGCAGATAGTACTTCATGAGGCGCTGACGTAAGCTGTATATTAATTCTGGGGGTGTGGTCGGGATTTTTGTTTGTAAAGAGATATACTTCCTCTGGGTGTGCACGTGACATGATAATGGCGCCATCACAACACCTGTTATTTTCGTTTCCCCCCCCCCCCGCACGTATCGACTTCCACATAAAATTTGTCCAAAAAACCAATTATCTCAATATTACATTACTTCGTGTGCACTTCACAGTGAACAGTGAAAGAGACTTCTGGTATTCACCCTGTATTCACATTCAGTTAGCTTTGACATGTTATGTTTTCAAAGTCGACATAGCAGACCAATGCATTTTTTTTCTGTCTGGTAGTCAATAGCTGAGCAAGCATGAGCTTTTTTTTCTTTCATATGTAGATCTACCTCTGGAGATAGGGCATGGGAGCCCGAAGGCAAACTCCAGATCCTGTTGGAAGATGCCTACGCCGAAATATCTCGGGTGAATATTCCCATAACGGAACGAAGGTGAGATACGACAGAAGCGATAATCGATGCTTGCGGGTCGATCGACAGTTGCAGGTGGAGCTGGAGAGAAGGAAATGCGAGGTGGGGCTGCTGGAGAGGAGATTGGAAGCCGGCTCGTCCAGCCTCCAGACCCAATTAGAGGTGGAGTCGCTGAGGCGGGAGCTGGAGGAGGCGAAGGAGGAACGGCGAAGCCTGGAAGGGACCATCCGGGATCTCCAGAGCGAGAAGGCGGCCGTTCGGCGTTTCAAGGACGACGAGATCAGTCACCTGCAGGTGGGATGAAAGGGTCTCTTATCGCCGAGACGGGGAATCAAAAACAAAGTGTCATTGTCACGTGATAGAGGCAACTGGATTGGTGGAAGCAGCGGCACGGCGACGTGGAGAAGGACTGGCTCAAGGCCCAGGAAGAATGCGTTCGCATGGAGGGGATTTTGCATAAAACCAGCGAACAAGTACGCTGGATCTCTGTTCGTCTTCGCGAATGATCATGAGAGCTTGTAAATATTAATTTAAAATCGTTGGGGGCATTTTCTCTCCATTAGTTGAATGCAGCCAGGGCAAAAGGTCACAACCAAAAACCCACCCCCGATCAGCAACGATACTTGGAGCAGTTTCACTCGGTCGTTTCGCATCATGGTCAGTTTTTGCTCTCGTCTCTGGACTCATTCCTTCGATCGCAATCGATTTCATCAGAGTGCCATTGGCTGCTGTCTTCTCAGGAGAAACGGTTCGAGACATGGAAGGCGTGATCGAGTCCCAGAATTCTCTCATCATGCGCTTGCAAGAGGAGTGTGCATTTCTTACAGCCAAGATCCAAGGGAAACAGAAGAGAAATAAAGATAATCCCACATGAGTCATGGTCTTTATCTGCTTGCTAGAGGAAAATTCACATCATATCCACTTTTTTTCATCCGGCCGGGGAAACATCCTACCACATCCATAATACCCGTTGACCTTCCTATGCAGCATGCCAGAACTGCGAATTCGTCTGCATAAATGAATCATTCATGTTTCCCGAGTTAGCATCGCCACTCCACCCATTTTATAAATGCATGAGTCCTATTACAGTTCCCACTCCGCACTGATTGCGTTGGATGACATTGGAGTGTCGTTGCCGGGCAAGTCTTGCAGGGTGGATCGTACACAGCGCGTTAAAGATCGCGTGATTCGTGTCCCGCGGGACGGGGCGCTGCTGATCCCGCAGTCCCGCGCGCTGCGTACCAGCTGGGAAGTTCGTTCTACGCCTCTCGTTTTTCCTGTCTGTGGCTATCCCCCATAGCTACAGCAAGTATGGCGTCTCTCTTTAAGAGCCGTATCGTCTCTCTCCTGTCGGTGTTCTTTTTTACTTTTCATTGTCAACTTTGCATTTCGGACCCGAGTGATGATTCCTCGGGCTTGACGACCTTTGTGGATAGGCATGGACATTATGTAGTAGTGCGACGCGATTTGGACGAGGTCGAGTCCGATCAAGGGGACTCCAGGTTTACCCGGTTCAAGAGGAGCCCTGTGAAGAATGAAAATATCCTTGAGCAAAAACTTGGAAACGTGTCCTTCACGGTGAGCTCAGCCGACATGCCTCCAGTAAAAGAAGTTGTACTTGGCCAAGGCCTACGAGGTCAATGACAGGCCATATCAGTAATGTTAATTGTGTACCCTCCAATTGCTTGGAAGTCAGGAGGTGGTAACACTCAATTTTGGCTATCCTCTGGAAAAAATTGCAGCACAATGTAAGCATATAATATTTTACTGGTGTGTACATTGGGCTTCATTTTTGAATTTTCCCACAACAACCTTAGTGCAGTGTTTTGCAAACTGAGGGGGAGGAGGGCTTGGAAGTTTTTGTTTTATAACTTGTTAAAATGTGCAATTCCAAAAAATGTCTCACATGGGATATATGTATTTTTTATTTACTTGAAGAAGTTCGCATTCCTCTATTTCTTTCTGGTGCTTTCGCCAGGAGTACGAGACTGTATGAAAGCAATTCCCATGAGCAGACTTTTAAATTCTATTAATTTTTTAAATGGGTGTTCACTTTTATCAATGATCTATGATTCAAATGAAGGTGACAAATGGATCCTGTGTCCCTTTGGACTGCAACTTGAATACTTAGTGAATGAAGCATTGGTGTGCTTGTTTTGTCTAAATAAATGCGTGAAGAGGCTCAAAGATGCTGAAAAGCTGGGTTCACCAGGCTAAGCAAAATTTCAGAAGACAATTCTTTGTCAGGTCTATGAAAATTCTCCTCTCATATGGCTAATCTAACTGCAAAACTTGGTAGCATTTGGATGTTGAAATGAGCTTTGTGCTATTATTGCTGTTGTCCAGTCCAGATTTGATCATTTGTGGATCCAGAAGCATGTATCATTCTCACTAAATTAGGTGAATGATCATTCAATTCCTAGCTGTGACCTGATCCCTGGTTGAAATTCATTTCCTATTTTTTCAATCATAGTATGAAAAGCATTTTTGGGGTGGGCTCAATTTCTTTGTACTCCTCTCAGAAGGAAAGGGGGGCATGATGCTGAGCCTGGACCTTTAGGGTAGGTGCAGTGTAAAATTTTTGAGAACTACAGCTGTAGTACATGATGCACTATCTAATAAAATGAAATCTTTATTCTTGCAGCAGGTGGGCCCTATTGATTTGCCACTGAAAAAAAAAAGACGAAGAGGGATAGGTAAACACAGTAATGTGGCTGACATTGGTCAGTATCAACTATGTTTATCAATTACAGAATGTCTGGTGGTTGGGCTCTGGGACTTGACAAGGTGAAATGAGGGAGACTGTTGGCCTAACTCATGGGAAAGTAGGAGGGGGGGCTATTAACCTTTGGAAGGAAAAAGTCACAAGTGACACTTTGGATAAGTTACTGGAGATAAACAAGTCTGTACATTCATGTTATTCCTAATACTTGCAGAATAGGAAACTTGTCACCTCTGACCCATTGCCCTTTCCAGGTCTAGGAAATGGGGTGGCTGGCATATGTGCCCTTATATGAGGGGGAGTCAATAAATAATGTGAATTTTAGTATAGCTTCAAAACAGTTTATTCCAGAACCATGAACACACACTACTTTTATATGTAATTACCTCCTACCTCAACACATTTATTCCAGCAACTGGCAAGCTTTCTAATTCCATCAGAGAAAAAAGTTTTTGGTAAAGAGTGTGGCCAATTATGCACTGCATTTCGAATGTCTGTATCAACCCTGAAATTGCGCCCCCAAAGTGCATCTTTCATCGGTGACCGTTTCTGAATAGTTCACATCACTTGTACACATTTTTCAATGAAAAACAATTGTCCTCATGTGCACACATTTTACGATAAATTTTACTTGGTTTAACTCTTTCTGACATTAAAAATTGATTGACACTTCACTGTTCAATTGCAGTGCAATCAGAATTCAGGGGTTGTCATTTTAAAAAACTGTCAGTGACAATGTTGCCAACATTAAATTACTGAAACTATGAGTACTACATGTTCAGACATGCAGTAATGAGGGTATGTGGTAATGAGTACGTAATGAGTGCATAATGTCTGTCAAAAATTTAAATTCACCTTAGTTATTGACCCCCCCTTGTATAAGCAAAAGAGTATCATTCCATATCACTTGGTACCAATGACTCAATATCATGAAAATTTCACTTGTTCCCTTAAGGCCTTCAAGCATCAATATGTGTGTAAACCCCCCTTCCCCCTATCATCTTGTCTGAAAATCCTCTAACCTTTTCAATCCTGAATTAAGTTCTAGGCATTGGAAAAATATGTCATATACTTTTGGGGTTTCAACAAGGCTCAAATAAAATAAAAATGCTTTTAAAATGGTTTCCTTAAGTAAAATAAATATGTATTCAATTATTTTAAGAAATTAATAAATAAAATTATGATATATAATTAGTTCAGATAGTAACTTATATCCCTATTTTACATTTGTATGCTTCCCAGCATTCCTGTACTACTTTCCATTATCTAGCTTGCTAAAACATAGAAAAAATTGGCTGGAAAAGAAATGCATTTATTTCAGCTAATACAAGAGATACCATTTTTGAAGTGCAGGAGGAAATACAGCAACCACATATTACTGTGGATGTCTGTCAACTTGACAATATGAGGTGTATTACTATAAACTGCGACTCAGAATCCCACCATGGCCACAAGGTCATACATTCTTGTGTAACCCTATAACAAATACAAAGATAATGCAGGACTCCTGAGTCCTGCCTGGACTGAAAGGGTTAACTTTAATGTTCCCTTGAGTATGGCTAGTTCTTGGTGTAGGCCTACTATTACTTCTAACTTTTTGCCCTGTAACATTAACTGGTTGAGTTAGGACTGACTTCTGTGGTTTGTTGGGAAACTGACAAAAACAGCAGGGAATACCCTATCCTAACTTATTTTGAAGTTGATAGGGGAAATTTCATCCTATCTAGAGAAAGGCTTCCAACGGAATAAATTGAATAATTATAAATGGAGACATCTAGGGGAAAGAGAGACGTAGTAATTATAAGAAAAATAGCAAAAGTAAATTCCAGGCTTCTCTTGCTGACATCCTATGAACTGTGTTCATGCAGATATTGCTAGAATGAGGTGTATAGTCCATTCACTTTGAGAAGAGCTTGTTGGCAAACCAGGTTGACAGCAGTGATTCCTCAGACCCATTAAGTCGTAAATTCATTAGGAGATTTCTGACAGTTTTTCTTTTCATGCCCAATGGGGATCATAAACCATTTGTTGAGGACTCATGTAAGACCTGTGTGAAAAGTCAGAGTTAGCCAGAAATGAAGAGAATGCTTCAGGCAGGAAAATTTAATTTTATTGGTGCAGATTGTGCCGATGTACCTGACAAGGTAACTAGAGAACTGTTAAGTAGAAAAAGTCCATGACCCCTACATTTCGCATCCTCTCTCTTCCATAGCACAGGTTAGTGTAGAGATGAGAGAATATCCCCATTTGGCATCTCCAAACTGTCACCCAACAGGGCAAGTTGAGAGGGTACTAATTGCACGCCCTCTTTTCCCTCGGCCACTCATGACAACAATCGGCCTTTGAGAGATAAGAAACTAGCTCTTCTCAAAGTGAATGGACTTTATAATGTGTGTGGAATTTTTTATAGGTTCTATTCCAAGTTAGCAGCAAACAATGCCCCTCCAGAATGCAATAAAATCAGTATGCGGATATCTATTGATGTTGTGTAAGATTTTTTCTTCACTCTCCAATAAGGTATTTGTCATGACACCAGGGATTCTCAAATGAGGACCTGTGATATAAGATGTCCCAAAAAAATAACTGCTTGCCTGCAAACTTTTTGTATTTGAAAGGTCATTGGTTGTTGTGACAGTTGGTGAAAGCAGCAGAAAGGGCACATGACACCAGCTTATTCATGTCACCCTTTGGGTAACCTTTAACCAAAGCTAGCAAAATGAGATTGACTTTGGTAAATAGGTGTCTGTTGTTCAAGTCTAAGGGCAGGGGAGCATTTCACTAAATGGCTCCAGGGGGAGTGAAAATTTTGATGACTGCCTTAATTTACAAGAATCAACATTATTGCCCAAGGAGATAACAGAATGTTCAAATTACATCACTCACCATCATATATGGGCCTAGGTTCAATATTCTCGAGTTGCTGTTTGACTTAATCTGATGTTGCCTGGATGGCAGAATTTTGACCTTTGTATTCTTTTATTTAGTGGGAATTGAAGGACACTCATGGGGTGATCATACTGCACTGGGCAGGACAAAATTCTGACGTGGTTCTTTGTCTTGCACGGGACAAGGATCAAAACACCCCAGGCTCCACCAGTGCCCTCTTCATATCTTTTGACTATGGAAAAACATTCCAGAACCGAACAGAAGCTCTCAAGCTGGCTGATGGAAAAATTGCTGTCATCAGCCAATACCATGTTCATCCAAAGTTCCCAAATGTGGTAAGCATTAAATTGTAGCAATTGAAAGCTCATTATTTTTATAACCACAGTTGTCTCATAGACTCACACTTGCTCTTGCATTAATTTTTTGCACATTTCAGGCAGTATATAGAGATGAGAAGAACAAATACATCTTCCTGACTCAAGATTATGGAAAAACCTTCAGCAGCTTCAAGCTCAGCTTCGTTCCTTCGGAAATCTACATGGATTCCTGGCTTGATGATGTCATAATCCTCCATGACAAAAAGGATGTGACAAAACCTGTAAGTCTCATTTTTCCCTCCAATCCAGTAACTGGTATAGCTTCCCCAGTTGAAGTATCATGCTGAAGAAATTCTCATATTTCTTACAGACTGACATATTGGTTTGTGGACTATGTATGGAGATGCACCAATATTGGTGTCAGTATAAGAATATTGTTCTACACTGAGAGCATTGAGAGAATCAGTAAAACAGATACTTATGCCTCTTGGTATCTAAAACCTTCAAGATGCTCTTGGTCATACTTTATTGATGCCTGACTAAGTTTCATTGGTCTTTTTCAACTAATTTATATCAGTATTGAAATATCAAAATTACCAATAGTGCATCTCAACTTCATCTGCTGAAGTGATGTGATAAGTTGAATGATTTATAATTTATAGGTATATGTTGGGAAATTGAAAGATGGAGTCTTCACTAAAGTTCAGGAATTTGTGTCTGAAGTACACATGGACACAAAGCCCAACCCAAATACAGTATATGTCATCAGGGATGATCCCACTGGACTGCACACAGTTTTGGCCTCTAGAGACTATTTTGATTCCCCTGGAGCTGTGGTGATGCGTTACATCCTACGCTTTGCCATTCATGGTGATTTGATGTTTGCAACACGTACAACAGTAAGGAAGAAGTCCTTGTTTTGTCTTCCTCCAATGCATATTTTACCATGCTGATGAGCTACATGTATTTCTTGTCTGATCATCCAGGACTTTTCTCATGAAGGGCCAGTTGACTCTCAAGATACACCCAAAGACTTGTATATTTCTGTTCGTAAAGATGGGAACTTTGGACCCTTTGTGAAAGCTCAGTTCCCTTCAACACTTCAACCCAGATGGTTTTATGTTTTGGATGTGACAGATGATGGTCAGGCTTTTGTATTAGCAAACCACAATAATGAAGAAGACAACTTATTCATCTCCAATGCACCAGATGATTCTGGCATTCGGTTCTCTCAATCTTTACAACGAGTGGTGTTTTTTGATGGCAATGAGCAGGACCGACTTCTTGAGTAAGACACATCACCACAATATCTCATTTTATCTAATAACTTTGACATGATTCCCCAATAATAAGCACTTTTACTTATTTCTAGTGGACTCACTACAGGACAACCATTTGCAGACTTCCACAGAGTTGAAGGCTTGAGAGGTATTTACATAGTGTCTCAGTGGAAGAATAATACCAAGGAAACCATTGGATATCGGTTGAGAAAGGATGACTTCATGGTGACCCTAATTACATTTGACAATGGGGGAGAGTGGCACCCCTTGGAGGCTCCTCGTGTGGATGATTCTGGTAATCCCACTAAGTGTGACACTGTGAGCATCATCCATTATGCATTATATAAACCATACTTGAAGACATTTTGGTTAGAAATATCATTGCTCTTCCCTTATTGCAGACCAAGGGATGTTCTCTTCACCTGAGTCAGAAGTACAGCAGTCTTGGTCTCATCCCAGGCAGGCAGAGTGTGCCCATATTGACGAGCAAGTCTGCCATTGGTCTGGTCCTTGGTACAGGCACAGTTGGTGAGAGCCTCAAAGGCAGGCCCTCTGTGTTCCTTTCTGCAGATGCTGGTCATACTTGGCATGAGGTGGGGTTGATTCATCATTTCACTGATCATATGATGTTGCATATTTTCATCAATTATGTAAAATGTGGTTCTCCTTGCAGGTGCTGAAAGGGATGTACTTCTACACATTTGGTGATCATGGTGGCCTCATTACAGCAGTGGACTACTTGTCACCAACAAAGTACCTTCTTTATTCTACTGATGAGGGAGAGACTTGGAATAGTTATTCATTCAGCAAGAATGATGTGGTTGTCTACAAGATGTTCACCGAGCCTGGAGAAAATACAACTATATTCACCTTGTTTGCTTCTGAGCCCAACAGTCATGAGTGGTTGATTGTCAACGTGGACCTGAAGACAGCCTTCTGTGAGATATCTGCCTATGCATTATGCAAGCTTTTTTAAAATTAAGAAATCATGTGTATTGTGATGTCTTTTCCATTAAAATTTTAGCAAAGGTCTGTGGAGAAGATGATTACAAGACCTGGAGTCCATATGATGAAGGGAATCAAGGAAGAAGCACTCCTTGCTTGCTAGGGAGAAAGTATGTTTATGAAAGGAGGATCCCTCATTCACAGTGCTTCAATGGCAGGGATTATGACCGCCCTGTTCGATCTGAGAATTGCCCCTGTCATAGGGAGGATTTTGAATGGTGAGTCTTTGTGAATATTTTGTAGTCTTTTTTCCACACAGACATAATATTGAAGGTTTCACAAATATGTTCTGGCAATGATTTCAGTGCCTTTGGGTTTTTACTGGAAGAGGTCACCAATAACTGTGTGTTGGATCCCAAAGCTAAAGATGCCAACTTTGATCCAAATGCCCCACCAAGGAATTGTGTGGAAGGAACGTTTTACAACCGCACAAAAGGCTACAGAAGAGTTGCTGGAGATACATGTGAAGGAGGAGCTGCCACCACCTACCTCCCTAACCTCCTGCCCTGCCCCATGAAGTGAGTGCAAGAATCATTCATACTAAGATGTATCTGCAGTCGTCTTCCATCTAAGTGGAAGCAACCAATTTTCAACTGCTAGGGCGGATGGATTATAGTCCCAGGAATTTCCAAACTGTTGAGTTTAGCACATAACTTACATAGTTGTTGACCTGGTTCTGAAAATGAGAAAATATAGAGTTTTGCTGGAAAACTGGAAAAGGAAAAGTGGTGGTCAAGTTTTTTTTTTTTACATCTAGCTTTTCTGGCTAATGTGAAGTTTTGCAGCTTTCATTACTTGATTCTGTTTACAGAAAGGAGCAGGAATTCCTCATTGTGGCCCAAAATGATGCAATAATGAGAATGAATCTGGCTTCTGCTCCTTCTACTGAGCCTACTTGGGAGAAACTACCCCTCAAAGGCCTTGAGAATGTGATTGCCCTAGAATTTGACATTGAGAACAACTCCATATATTGGGCAGACATATCAACAGACAAAATCATGGTAAGTTGTCAGAGATTCAAACCTCTATTTCTATGTTACAAATTACCTGTTGAATTGCTGGCATAAACCCACACTCCATTCCTTAGCGGCAGCGATTGGATGGGCAATCTGACCCAGAAGTTATTGTCGAGAGAGACCTGAGCAGTGTTGAAGGACTGGCCTTGGATTGGATCTCATCAAACTTGTACTTTGTGGATGGTGCTAGGAGCCGTATTGAGGTTGTGCGTGTGGATATCAATTACTTTGGTCGCATGCGTAGAACAATTCTGAAAAATGACCAATTGGGAAAGCCACGTGGCATCGCTCTTCATCCTGTGAAAGGGTCTGACATGTCACTCTATATTCAGTCCTGTTGCACTTGAAAAAGAAGCTTGATATCAAGTCTGGGCTTGGTGTTAATGACATTGCAGGTACTTGTTCTGGACAGACTGGTCCTCCACAACTCCTTCAGTTTCTCGTGCCCTCCTAGATGGCTCAGAAGTGAAAGTCCTCTTGGGTCGCTCTGTGGTGACTTGGCCTAATGGCATCACCGTAGACACTCTCACTGATAGAATCTTCTTTGTTGATGCAAATCGGGATTTCATTGCATCAGCTGACCTAGACGGTGGAAACTTGCATACACTCATTCGTGACAAAGTTAGTGTGACAAATACCTTTGCTGGTGGTGAATGTAAAATGGCCTCTGTAAAACTCTTGATTTCTCTTGCAGGTGATCTTGAACCATCCGTTTGCAGTGGCAGTTCACAAAACCCAGCTGTATTGGGATGACTGGAATCAAGGTCATGTGTTTATGGCTAACAAGGAAACAGGAAGAGGGATCACCAATGTAACAACAGAGCATGCAGCCAGACTGATGGAGCTGAAGGTTATTCACTTTTTAAGTAGTGCCAAGTAATTTTATTAAGTGCATCAGTTTAACTAATGTTTTGGGAAACAGGTGATAGCCAATTTCCAGAGAACTGGAACCAATGCATGCAGTGGAGCCATGACCTCGAAGGGAGGTTCGAAGTGCAGTTATTTGTGTATGGGAAGACCAAATAATGATTACTCCTGCCTCTGCCCTGATGGCATGAATATTCAGCCCCTTGGGACAGGGAAAGAGAAATGTTTTTGTCCCTCTGGAGATGAGCCAGCAAATGGATATTGCCCTCAAAGTAGGGAGAACTTATGTGGTCTCTATTGCTTCATCTCTGTAAAGTGGTATCCTTGGTTCATATCCCTTTTTGGTGCTTCCAGAGGGTGCAACTTGTGGAGAAGGAATGTTTCAATGTGGGAATGGGCATTGCATCTACTCATTGTGGCAATGTGATGGTGACAATGACTGTATGGATGGAAGTGATGAGGCCAACTGTGGTAGCTCCTGCTCTCCCATGCAGTTCCAATGCAAGAGTGGCCAATGTATCCCACCTCACTGGAAGTGTGATTTTGATGCAGATTGCTCAGATGCCTCTGACGAAGCCAACTGCAGTAAGTGCACAAGTGCTCAAACCTGTCTGCATCATATGTGGATTCACAAAGAGAATGTTATTCGCTCATAATGATGTTCTTAATTTATAGCATACCCATCATGCACTGCTGACCAGTTCCAGTGTGCAAATGGACGTTGCATTTCTAAACGGTGGGTTTGTGATTTTGAGGATGACTGTCGAGATGGGAGTGATGAGGTAAACTGCACAAGCAAGGAAACAACTTGCACTTGTGAGTCCTTTTAAATTGATTTTCTCATTTGTTTGCAATGCAGTAGTTTTTTGACAATGGTGAATGCAATTTGGTTCATCCACAGCCACGGATTTCACATGTCTCGATGCCTCAAAGTGCCTTCCATGGACATGGAAATGTGATGGAGATCCTGATTGCACAGATGGGAGTGACGAAAAGAACTGCACCGAACATCAGTGTCAGGAATGGCAATTTCAGGTCACACACACACACACATATATATATGGTTGTGGGTGTCTTGGAAATATTTAGATGTATGAATATCTGTCTTTTCTTGCAGTGTGGTGACAACAAATGCATATTCGTGACATGGAGATGCGATGGTGATGAGGACTGTAGTGATGGATCTGATGAATTGAACTGCTCATCAACAACCCCTGTACCAACCAAACCACCTGTAACAACCATCTTTCCTTCTGTGGGTCTTGTTTTTTTTCTCTCAACAGACTAATCTGAGTTTTTGACTCAAGCATCAAACAGCACTCTAGCCCAATTGGATTTTCTTACGTAGGTCTGTACTGGCTGGACCTTCCGCTGTGACAATGGGAAGTGTGTTCCTTTGAGCTTCAAATGTGACAGCGTAGATGACTGTGGAGATGGAAGTGATGAATTGTTCTGTGGAGATCTAGGGAATCGTACATCAACAACAACATCTACTCGGCGCCCAGATACTGGGACTTGTTTGGAAAATCACTTCAAGTGCTACAGTGGTGAGCTGTCTAGAAGAATGAATGAAAATATACAAAAAGTAGCATAATTATAGGGTGTGTAGCTGCTTCAAACAGCTGGGATCATGTAATTCTAAAATGAGGGCTTGCTTTTGAAGGAATATGCATCCCCCAATCTTGGGTTTGTGATGGGGCTCGTGACTGTGCCTCTGGAGAAGATGAAGGAAACTGTGAAAATGTAGCTACATGTGGAGGAACTGATTTCCGCTGTGAGGTTAGTGGAGGATGCATTCCCAATTCAGCTGTCTGTGATGGCCGACAAGACTGTGCAGATGGAAGTGATGAGCAAGGTTGCATTGATGTAATACCACCTAGTAAGTGATGACAAATTCTTAAGGTTGAAGAATTTTTTTATTTTATGGACCTTGGCATTGATTTTTTAAAATACCCTTTTAGGTCCCAAAGAACCTTCTGAAGTTGAGTGTCATGCTGGATACCTCAATTGTGATATCACCAAGTGTGTACCTGTTTCACGTGTCTGCGATGGTAGAATTGATTGCTATGATGGGTCAGATGAGGAGAACTGTCAGCATGTTCACAAGGCAAGGGATTTTAAATTGTTTTGGCGTGGCAGTTGAGCCTATTTGTTCATGAAGAGGAACTTTGTTTGCTCTGTTAGGCTTACCAGGTGAGAGATTATGTCATTGATGACAAACGACTGACTGCAAACTCCATCTACCTATCATGGTCTATGGCCAAAGGTACTGCAGTACCAGCTTCTCTCCAGTATCTTCCTTCCATTGCTGAGGAAGTGGAGAAAGATCCCCCGAAGTGGAAGAATCACACCTGGATCAACATCACAGAATATACATTCCATGACCTGCACCCATACACTAACTACATAATGCAGGTATATGTGAAAGACCAGTCTGGCACAGTTTATCCACCTGGAGCATCAATTACACAGAGGACAAAGAGTTCCAGTATGTCTCCCATCTCAGTATTTCTTGACATGATTCCTTTCAGTTCATTAATAACCTGAGTGTGTATTTATCCAGTCCCAGGAATTGTGCGAAATGTGACTGTCAATCAATTGCATGGTGGTCGAGTAAATGTTGTCTGGGATGCACTAAAAGAAGATAATGGACCTAGATTGCTCTACCGGATATATATGTCTCCACCAAGTCCACCACTGGAATTCATGACTCAGAAGACATTCCATGTGATCCGAGAAGACTTCAAGCCTAATGTCACTTATTTCTTTTGGGTATGTCATATATTGCTATATATGAGAAGGAAGCTTTGATGAGAGGTTGCCAATCAATCAGAAACCAGTACTCAAATCTGTTAATATATAGACTGTTAAGTATTGAGTAGGTTGCTTTATCTGTTTTTTAAAATGAACCCTTATTTCCATGCACAGAAAATCTGATGAAGGAAGTATTATCTTTATCTCATGTCCCACATCTTCACAAATACTTCAGTTGACACTTTCATTTTGCCAATTCTTTTCCACTCATCTTCACTTGTATCTGTTTTTTATCAATGCTTACTGGATTGAAAACTCCATCTTCTCTTCTGCCTGTTGAAGGAAGTGGAATAGGCAGCTACTGAAATTTTCTGAACTTTTTATTGTTGCACCAAAAGTTGCATTGTTCAACTCAAATAAGTTGATGGGCCAAATTAAAGGTTAAGGCCTTTTTTTTAAATATGTTTTTGGAAGATTTGTTATTATTCATTTATAGGTTCAGGCTGAGAATTCAGCCTATCGTGGGTCACCAAGTGAGAAAAAGTCACTCATATTTGATGGGAATGCAATCGAGATCAGTATAAAGAATCTCAAGATCATCAATGCATCAGAAACGACAGCCACTTTGATATGGGATTCTTTGGAAGGAGTTGATTCTTATGGAGTTGACATTAATCCAATTGAAAACCGATATGCATCCAGATGGAGCATGAATGTGACAAAGCCATCAGCCACTGGTGAGAGTTTGTTTAAAAGCATTGTTTGATCTGATCATGTGGTGGAATAATTGATTGTCAGTACTGTGTACTCGTGCTCTTACAGTCACGGGACTTGCACCAGCTGCACAATATCAAGTTCATGTTTATGGGAGAAAGAAGAACATTGAAGGACCACGCACTACCATCCAGGTCTCGACAGAAGGTATTCCCATCATGTTTACTGTGCATGCTAATGAAGTGAATGTTTGTACAAATTCTATGCACTCGTTCCTTGATGTATTCAGGGAATCCACTGCCAGATGTGAAGAACATAAAGGCAATGAGAATCAAGGGGACCACTGTGAAATTGTCATGGGATCCTCCAAAAGATTCCCGGAAGCTTCAGTGGTCTTATGCCATATTCTATGGAGCAACTGAACATGAACTCTTTCAAGAAGGTATTAGGAGGTATTCATTTGATAATTGTAAAATTAAGTCCTGAACTCAATTAACTGTGTGACCTCTGGTTATGGTAGGCATCAGAACAAGCACCGATGACACAACGCTCACTGTCAAGGATTTGGAGGCTTGTGAAGAATATTTATTTGCTGTCACCCTCTACAAGCCTCTTGGCATTGGACCTGGTCCACAAGCACCGGCTCAGAACAAGACTGAATTTGACCCCAAAGCTCCTCCAAAGGGACTGGAAGTCCATGGGAAGGGTAATTCTTCCATGGTTGTCACCTGGTCATCCTCATGCCCTGAAGTCCTGTCGGACCTTGCTTATGTGGTATGCTCTCATTTAAACTTGTCATTAGGTGGTGTAATGATATCAGCGATTTTAGATATCATTCAGCATTCTTTAAATCTGTGGATCAGCAATTTTTGGCATGCTGACTTGCAGGTAAATTTAAGCTCTGACTTGTGGATGAGAGTCTTACATGAAATGCAAATTACTCTGTTCCAAGCAAATTGCCACTTTTCCTAGAAAGATTCACTTTTTACTCTTGTAAATTTTTGCCAAGTTCAACTCTTGGCATGACCTATTTTTAGCATTGATATTGATAGTTTTGGAACCTTCATGATAGATTAGATATTGACCCAATTTCTATATTACACTTCTACTTGTCATGGAATGGAAGGCTGAAGCCATTTGATATGAAGTCTATTTTCTTATGACACATCTTGATAGGTTGTGGTGAAGGAACTGAATCTTGGAAAGGAATCAAGAACGCAGACATACCCATCACGAAACAAGTCCTTTGTGAATGAGTTTAACATCCGCATTGGAGGGGAATATGAGGTCACAGTGCAGACATCCATGCCTGATTCGCGACCTTCACAAGCCGTTCACTACTATGCTCCTCCCATCCCTGCTCCACATCAGGTTGAATTCATTCAGGAAAGAAATGGATCTTACCTCATCTATTGGCGGGACAAAGAAGTTTCTAATAGCCTTCAGGAAACCTTCAAGTACAGGACTTAACAGTATTCAATTTTTGGGAGTAAATTAGAAACTAATGGCACTTTTCTGGAATGGCTTGTTTCGTTTTTGTTCCAGCTTGACTTATGTCATCTGGGTGGCAAATGACCCAACCTTCAAGAATGCTACCCAGTACAAGGTGAAGGAGCCACCTTTCACAATCAATGATCTCAAGCAAGGTGATGTGAAATATGTGGCTGTCAGCTTGATTGATGAGAATGGATATTCTTCCTCTCGTTCAGAGGTCATCACCATTGAGAGGCCATACTGTGAGTGTCCCTTTTTGATATCTTGCATGCCTCTTCCTTGATGAGGGAATGCTAAAATGACATCAGTTCCAAATAGCTTTGGTATACTACAAGCTGTGTAACTTTTTTTTTCTTTTCCCAGATGAGGCCCCTGTGGAGTTAAAGAAAAGCAACATGGTAACAATAGTAGTTTCTGTTGTTGTGGTTGTGGTTGGGCTCTGCATTGCACTTGTCGTCTTCTTCTTCCGACATCGTCGACTCCAAAATTCTTTTGCATCTTTTGCCAACACTCATTATGACCCACGTTCTGGAGCTGTCTTTTCAACTTCAGATGTCCTGGGTAAGTCCTGCTGTCCTCATTGATGATTTTGCTATACTCTACATTTTGCTAATTGTACTTGTTATATCTTTGCAGAAGATGATGATGCACCCATCATTCGTGGATTCTCGGATGATGAGCCCCTGGTCATGGCATAGATACTGTGAAATCTTGTGCAGTTCTATGCGTTGTATATTCTAGTCCATCTGGTCACCTCACAAGTTTCTCTGATCCTTTTGCACATGTTCCATCTTCCTTCCCACCCCCTGTGTTCGATTTGACCTGTAATCAACACCACTGTATCAAGTTCATCACAAGGGATAATATTTTTACTATGTTCATCCAAAAGTGTGATGATTTTCTATTGTCTGTATCTTCTGTGGCATTTCTCTTCAGCTGCCTGGGTGGTCAGTATTTGCAGAGTTGCCATATGTTGAGTTGTCTGTGATAGGAGGAGAGACAGAAGCTTGGGAGGCAGTTTGGAGAAATCTCAAACACTATCGATTCTGTTGTCCCATTGAGCTCAGATTGATTGAGTGATAATTTGGAAGACTTGTACGTTTTGCGACTGCTTAGTCATGAGATAATAAAGCGAAGGGGCTTGACTCAGTTTCTGCCTTTTTTATTGTTCTGTTGCATCACAATTTTCAATTGCATTGAAAGTCGAGTTCCCAGTCCTAGAATATTGTATATTTGTGCTGATGAAAATAGGTTACAGGGGATGAAAGCATGAGCTCAGAGATCACGGTTTGATGGCATTTGAAGCGGCCGTTTCCAACAGGAAGGAGCGAATAGTCATAGGCTCCAAAGTCACAACTGTGTTGAGCCTCTCTGTGTCTGGATTTGTCTCGAGTTTTTCCTCTGCACCACTGCAAGGCTGATGTGCAGTCTTCCAACACAGCCTCTTTGTGCTATCAAGTGGTTTGTTCCCATCCAACGTTACTTCCTCCACCGACACCACATCAAGGTCCACGAACAGATCCTGAAGAAAAAAAATTAGGGTGTGGTAACAAAGTCTGAGCAATTTTTGCGATTGACTGCCAGTTCAAGAAACAGAGCATCACTTTGATGTCCAACGTCACTGGTTGTCCGTTTTCTTTTCTTTCCACGAAGTGTTCCAACCGCAGCAACAGAGAACCTCCTCTCCAATTCTCAAGGGTGAGCAAGTTGATGCCCTCAGGCAATGCAGTCTTGAGGAGAGACCTCTGTCAAACACAAGAAGGGACGACAATGAGTTTTCAACATTACCGAACCGACTCAGGACTAAGGACTCGGAAGCCACCGTACTTGGTTCATTGGGGCAGAAGTGAAGTCCTGGAGGGTCATGGTGGTCGGGGAAAAGATAGGAAGGGGTTCGTAGAAGATTCGCTTCTCCTCCTCCTTTATCACGCCCATTCCTTCGCTCAATTCCGAAAGGAGGGCGTAATGAGAACCTGAAGCCACGAGACCTTCTCCGTGGGCCGTCTCGTTCAACGCCTCTTCCACTCCGAACGCATCGTCGTAGAGGCAGCGTCGGTGTATCTAAAACGGAAAACGGATCACCAGGCTTTTCTAGTCGCAGGGAATGACTGAATTCGAGACACCGTGTGTTTGCAACCCAAATCCATCGCATCCGACTTAGAACGTAATTTACTTTTAAGAAAGAAGGGAGAAAAACGCCCAGATACTGTGACGTTGAATTTGGTCAAAGCAGGCAGCCTCGCAACGAGACCCGCATTCGCTTCCGTACCATGAGCTCCAGCTCCCCGTCGTGGATGCTCCCTCCACCCTGCGCCCTGTCCGTGAGCACCGTGAACTGCGTCCCTTGCGCCTCGTCCCGAAGGAAGAGTCGGCTGTTGATGGGGTAATAATTCCCCGCCACGGGCTCGAACTCCTCCCCCAACGTGAAACTCTCTCTCGTGTCTCTCGTCCTCGTTAGGCTCTCCCTCCCGTTGGAGTCCGTGTGGAATTTCCCTCCCGTAGCCATGTCCAGGCACATTCGGTTTATTACTTCCTTTCCCACTCCGTCTCTGTGACAAGAACACGAACAGTTAGTAATTGTAAAATATGCGAGTGGATGAATAAGTCCTAAAATAAAACTAAAACTGATATATTAAAAAAATGAGGGGGGGGGGGAAATCACGATAAATAATTATTTCCCGGAAGCCACAAGCGTAAATGAATAAGTCCCCCAGTGGACCCCAGCAAGAGAGAACCATGTCCTGACTTCGCCTCCTTTTCATGCTTCCCCGATTTTTTTCCGCTCAGTGAGTGGGTTGCTCACTAACTCGGGGAATATTTCCCACTCGCAGAACCATAATAAGATAAGCGGCAACGAGTCGATTTTAAACTTTAAACGACACGATCCATGGGCCTCTCGAATTGAAGCCCCTCGACAGAAGGAGTTTTCAAAGTTCTTACTGGAAGGGGATGGGTCCGACGAGCCATTTCACCTCCAACCAGGGACTGGATCCGTACAGACGGACCACCTGGCTCAGCCAGCTCCCGTATTCTTGGTGGACTTCCTCCACCACATCCCCTGAGAAACGGAAGGGATCAGTCCCTCGGTTTCCAAGGAATCCACCCAGTTTTTTCATAAAAACCAACTCACCTCGATAGACGATGGTTCGACTGGCTTTCCCCGGGGAGACGGGATCCGTTCCGTTGGGTCGCAAGATGTAGGCTCCGGAAGCGCGGAATTGAGCCTCCGAATTATTTCCTTCCATCGAGTTATAATAGAGGAGTTCCTGCGTGAATCCTCTCCTCGTGTCTCTTCGTTTCATCCCTTTCGTCATCCTCGTCTCCCCGTTGAACGTCACCGAAACCTCCTAAATTCACGAGGGGCAACAACCGAAATTAAACACCGACGCAAACGTCACGAATGCATAAAGGACCGGCAGAACAAAGGACCAAAGCTCGTACGGAATTGGAAAGCGTGAAATCCGCGGCATCGTCGTCCAAGATCTCCGTCTTCCGCACGACTCCCGACTTCGACTTCGAACCCGCCCGAGTGATGTAGAAATTGGCGAATCCCATCGGAGGCAAGGAAGCGAGGAAAACCAATTCGAATTTGGCGGAACTGCTCCTCCCGGGAACGGTCAGAACCGGGCCAGGAATCGGCATCACGTCCACCGTCAACTCCGCCCCTGCACGAAAACCCAGGATCCCACTTATCGACCCCACCCCTACCTCATCCCTCCACTAAAAAAAAAAAAAAAAAAAAAAACCTGTGTGATCGTAGACGTGGTACACGGGAGCATCCCCGCCCCCGGCGGGAGGCACTGGGACCCTCGCGGGATGCGACCGAGGCCGGCCCAGCGGATTGTACAGCGTCAGGATCAGAGTATTCTCGTTCTCCGACACTTCGCACGACGAAATGTTGAGGAACGGGCAGTGCGACATCTCCAATGTCCCCCCTCCTCCCATCATAGACCTGCAATTCCAGACTCGCACTTTTAAAACTCAATACTTAAACCATATAAACAATTTAAATAAAAAAATTACTTATTTTTACTATTTTTAACACCGGCTAAAAAAAAAAAACTACAGCCGACGATGAATCCAATTTCAATCTCACTTGAGGGCGTCTCGCACAACAGTCCAGGTGGCGTCGAGACCGAGCGAAATGAGCCGGTAGTAGTCATCGGTGACGTGCTGCTTGGCGGTGCCCGTCACCGCGTCGTGGTGCATGTTCACCCCCATCACCTCTCTCATCTGCGACAGGTTCTCTTCGGATCCCGGGGACGGGAACGCGCTGCCCAGCTGCTTCCCTATCTTCTCGG